CCCCTAGCGCTAGCAGCAGCACACGAGTGTTCGCTCCAGCAGCGTTGCCGCAAACTGGCGAGTGCCTTAATGAGGCTTCAGGCAGTGAGCTATATGGAAAGAGTCTGCCTGGCCTTCAACATGGCTGGGCTGGGCCTGCGCCCAGAAGTTTTCAGTAGGCCCCAGGTTGTTGGGCCTCTGCTGGTGCTGTTGGGCCTCGTTCAGTTGCCCCGCCCAACTGTCTGTGTATACTGTTGCGAATGTGGCCAAGGGCGTGCACTTCAGGAAAGGCCTAGAAGGCTGTGTAAACTTTGCAGCCCGGGTCCTGGGTTCCCTCAACCAATTGACGCGACACAACTGCTTGAAACCCCAAATACGAAATTGACAGCATTGGGCCTCTTGTGATTTGTTAGGCCCGCCTTCACTTAGGGCGGGCACACTCGCATTCCCTCCTCCTTTAATTTGATAGTCCTCTGAGAAGTTCCTTAATCGGCAGGCAACTTTCCCTTGAGTGCTCTCTCGTAGCCTGCAATCACTTAGGGCGCTGTTCGTTGGAGTTCTTCTCTAGTAAACCACCGATCTTCACTGGATCAATATGATGTCTGAATCTGACACGATACTGCATCCTAGACTTTGGAGGACGGCCTCTGCCGGGAGACACTATTTCCTAGGAAGGCACTTTAAAGTCTATTCTGACCACGAGACTCTGCGTTGGTTGAAAACCTAGGCCCAAATGACCCCTAAGTTAACTAGGTGGACTGGGGAGATCGACCAGTTTGATTACGAGTTAAAACCAATTAAGGGAAAGTACAACGTCGTCGCAGATGCGCTCAGTAGATGCGCAAACTTTTTCGGTGCTATCGTGACTTACCTAGACGTCGGCACCGAACTGCAGCAACAGATTAGGGCTGCGTACACTTTACAACGAACTCATTAAGAGAGTGTGGATAGCACTACACCAAGTTCCAGACTATAGAGTGACTGGTGGACTCTTATTCGAGAAGACTGACAGGTTTGACAGACTCTGCATCCCGAATAACTAGAATGTCAAGAGTCCGATCTTGGGGGACTGCCACGACACTGAGGGCCACTTCAGTTGTAGGAAGACTTACACAAACCGCCTATGGTCCTACACCTGGGTCAACATGAAGCATGATTGTATTGCCTATATCCAGGGCTGCCAAGTATGACAGCAGAACAAGTGTTCCACACAGAGACCCCCCTTGGGTTGTTAAGACCCCTATCTGTCCCATCCGGTCCTAGGGACTCCATGTCTATGGACTTCATGGACACAAAAGTCAAAAGCAGAAACGGGAAAAGTCAGGTGATGGATGCAGTAGATCGATTTAGTAAATTTGTTGTTTTCGTTTGACTGCCCGCCGGCAAAGACCGATCTAGTGGTTACAAAGTTTTTCAATCACTGGGTTAAGGATTACGAGCACCCATTGACGATTGTTAACAACAGAGACAATAGATTCATGGGCGAGCACTGGCAACAATTAATGAAAGTCTGTGGGTCAAAGTTGACAATGTCTTTCGGTAGACATCCCTGAGCAAATGAACAAACTGCTTCAGCAAGTGATTCGTATGTATTTTAGACCTGATCAGATCGACTGGGACGAGCATCTTCCCAGAGTGCAAGCCGCGTATAACAATTCGGTGCACCTGTCAACTGCACGCACACCGAATGAATTGCACAAGGGTTGCCAACCGAGACGTCCAATCGAGTGTTAGAATCTAGATCAGATTCAGAGACTACCACCCGGAATGAGGGAATGTGCTATTCAGTACGAAAAAGACTCAGAGCAGGTTAAGAAGAATATCCTTAAAGCGTAGGATCACATGATCGAACAAGCTAACACCGACGTCAGTCACAGTTTGCGGTAGGTGATCTTGTATGGGTTAAGTCCAAGGAATTCGTCCTTGAAGAGGGAATCTCACAAAAACTGTTACCCGCATATAGAGGACCATGGCAAGTCCTGGACGTCAAAGGAGAGGCGGATGGTCCTTCCTACACTATTAAGATTCCACCCCACCTACACACGTACCCGGTATTCCATGCCTCTAAGCTGCTTCCTTGCATCACAAACGATCAGTTTCCATCCCATCGTTCTATGATTCCGCCCGATATGGATGGAAAATATGACGTGGATCACATAGTTGCTGAAGACACATTCCGAACTGGTCGTTGGGGAGACCTCAAAGACAAGACAAGGTCAGGTTCCCCATCTTACTATGAGAGGGCTAGGCGGGGATTGAACGTATATGATCGTTAAAGTAGGGATCTTTCTCCGAGGACCTCGAATTTAGGCCGGTGGGAGTGAAAGGATTCACGCAGCAGACACCCAGTCCCGGTCTAAGGGTCTCGAAAAGCCCAGTCCTACTACAGCAGTTCGGTAGGCTAGGTCATAAGGTCTAGGGGGTCCGAAACGTTGTAGGTAGGTAGAACGACAAGAAAAGTCCAGAAACGTCATGTCTGGTACCCGACAAGAAAAGTCTGGAGGCATCTGGTCAGGTCTGATGGTCCCAAGTCCAGTTTTGCAGCATGTCCCAGCAAAGGTCCGGAAGGTACCGGACCGACAAAATGTTTGCAGCAGACAGGCCGCGGCTGACCGGTACCGGTGTGAGGAAACCCGAGGAGGGAATCGTCTGTTCGCCGCTGAAGCCAGGGACAGCGACGTCTGTCACCCGTCGTGTTCGCATCAGAGGTCCTCTGTGGCATACTGCGTAGCCACACGGGCCCTGCAGGGCCCGTCCCAGACATTCAGCCTAAAAGCCTAAAACTTAGGGCTTACAGGCCCCGTTCGTTTCAGCCTGAAAGCTGAAAAACGAGGGCCTGCAGGCCCTACCCCGTTTCAGCCTATTTCTGGGTCTTTCAGACCCAGAGTTTTTCCAGCCTGAAACGGAGGGCCATTTTCAGGCCCTGATTGTTTCGACCTGCCCCTAAGACTCAGGCACGTAAACAGGGATGCGGAACAGGCCAGAAATAGCCTGTTCCTCACGAGCTCGAGCAGGAGCTGCAGCTGCAGCCCCTGCCTCCTTTCGGCATTGGCAAGAGCAGCCTCCTGAACTGCTCGCACGGCTCAGGAGGCACACCCGGTAGTACATAGGAGGTTCCCATGCACTTCACGGGTAGGTAGTGTCAGTAGGCAGTGGTAGTCTTCAGGATTTCGGCCACAGCACTCAGGAGGAGCGCTGCAGTAGTCTTCAGCGCTAGGCAGGCGCTAGCTGTAGTCTTCGGCGCTGGGCGCCATAGCTGTAGCTGTAGTCTTCAGCGCTGGGCGCTGGTAGGTGGTAGATCGTAGAGTGGGAGAGAGAGGCTGGCGGAGGCCAGCGATACTTACCTGTGGCGCCATCGCTCCAGCTCCATCTTCGTGGTACCTGCATCAAGGCGCCAACTCCACAGGTTAGTACTGGACACAGAGAGAGAGAGAGTTCTTCTTCTTCCTCTCGCCACCTGTTCTAAGTCCACCTTCTCTTCTCACCCTCTCGCCACCTGACTTCTCAGACTACGACAGAGAGAGACAGAGTTGTGACTTGAGACTTGATGACATTGGATCCAGACTTGTCATTTGGGATTCAGACAGTTCGACGAGGGACTATTTGGGCTTGTGCCGAAGACTTGGTGTTGACGACATTCCCATCTTCCCCCTCCTCTTCGTCTATCCCCTTCCTCTTCGTCTNTCGACGAGGGACTATTTGGGCTTGTGCCGAAGACTTGGTGTTGACGACATTCCCATCTTCCCCCTCCTCTTCGTCTATCCCCTTCCTCTTCGTCTGTGTATGGTACGGGCTGGCGCTGTCTTCCTGTGTGAAGCGCCAGGCCCATTCACACCATGTAACGATGATGATGATGTATGTTCAGTGCTGCATTACAGCATTGATTGTTTGGATCATTGGTATCTAAGTCTTCCGTTGTGCTATCTTATACTTTGTATTGAAGGGTCGGTTCTTGTTCTGGTCTGCACGTTACAGTATGCAACAGTTTGGTATCGGAGCGGACCTCTCATTCAGAGGACCCACTCAATCAAGTAGCGAGCTTGCGATCTATTGATCACTCAGTAGTAACGCAAGTAGGACTTAGTCAAATCTCTGAATTTTTTTTCTTCTCGCAACAACTATCTGAAATTTCTTATATTCGCATTTTCGTTCAATCTGAAAATTTTCTGATATTAGTAGTTCGTTTTTACGTGACAAACATCTGAAAATTTCTGATAAATCGCATTTCGTTTTGTCTGAAAATTCCCGATAGTAGCAATTCGTTTCTCTGATATTTCGCATACATATCTGAAATTTCTGAAGTTAGTATTTTCGTTCTCTAGGCATATTGGGATAACGATAGAAGTGGTCATATTCTCGGAAACTGAAATTATTCTTTTCTGAAAATCGCATTTCCATTCTATCTCGCAAATTTTTTTTTGAAACCCGAATCTTGCGAATCCTACCAATATTGCGTTAGGCATATTCAGAGGTTGCTATATTGTCAGAAACTGGATTTCGTTCTTTTTTGAAAATCGCATCTTTACTCCATTTCGCAAATTTTTTTTTTCAAGATCGCAGTTTGTAAAAGCCAAAACTTTGCGGCACCTAGCCTAGATCTCGTTCATAATACTCTTCTGACATATCATACTCATCATAAATCGACAGATACATACAAAAAAAAAAAAGAAAAAAAAAAGGAAGTAGTCCTCTTTTATTTTTTATTTTTTATTTTATCTGTTGATTAGGGCCGGAGGAAAGTATTGTTGGGTTGGTTACCTACCTACGTTTTCCCTCCCACCCACCCCTTGCATGCATCCCGGTTCGGCACGGTGCCACGTCACAGTGCCAGATCAGCAGTGCCACGTCAGCAGTGCCACGTCACAGTGCCACGTCAGCAGTCAGAGTGCCAGATCAGCAGTGCCAGGTCACAGTGCCACGTCAGCAGTGATGTCAGACACAGTGCCACGTAAGCAGTGCCACATCAGCAGTGCCATGTCAGACAGTGCCACGTAAGCAGTGCCACGTCAGACACAGTGCCACGTAAGCAGTGCCACATCAGCAGTGCCACGTCAGACACAGTGCCACGTCAGACAAAGTGCCACGTCAGCAGTGCCACGTCAGCAACATGACGGGCCTGCCAGGGCAACTGCCCAACGAGTCCCTTGCAGCCTACAAGCAGCGGTTCCAGGCTCAGATCGAGGCTGAGGAACAACGCCAGCTGGCAGCCGAGGCTGCCCGCGTACAGGCTGAAGAGGCAGCAGCAGCAGAACAACTGCAGCTACAGGCCAATGCACACGCAGATTCCCAGGCTCGCCGCAAGGAAGCCGAGGATCTGCTGCAGCGGCATGAAGCCAACAGCATCGACAGACTCAAGTTCTGGCACTTCGAACCGAACGGCGACGAGGCAACAACGGAAGAGAAGCACAAGGAGTTCCTCTCCAAACTCGTGACGCGGTTGTTGTATGCTTGCAATTACCAACGGTCAGAGTTGGAGAGACAGTACCAGGACCTGACGCAACAGCATCAGGAGTTGACACAGCTCCGCCGCATGGTGCAGAGCCACGAGGATGCAACTCGGGCACTCAATGCCCGATTGTTGGACCTGGAACAGGCTGTACTAGGACCAGCTGCTGGGGCTTCCAGCAGTGCACCCTCTAGCCCCCAACTGGAGGACCGCGTTGACCACGTAGTGGCAATGCTCGGCGACATCAGCACTTTCGCTGCGCCAACCACCACCATCAGCAGTCAGCTGCATACATTGAAGACCGAGGTCCAGCAGCT